CACCGACACACACGCAAAAAAAAATCATTTTCATAAGGCACATACATTTTTCTAAATTTGAAATTTGAACAAACATATATGGCAAATCTTATCTGGGAACGTCATATTTTTATTCCCCATAAGGGCATGGACAACGCTCCATGTTGGACAACTACCTCAGCCCTACACGTCGGATGCGACGCAGTCGTGGAGGAAAAACGAAAAAATGTAGCTGCCTGCAGGGTCGAACCGGTTCCTGCAGAAGAGGCCGGTGCTTCACCAGAAAAGTAGGACAGAAAGGGAAGAAAGAGGCAAAGTGATGGACTAAAGTGTACAGGATTTAAGCTTAGGAGAAAAAATATGACAGAGAGATGACACACGAGAGGACCATGGTGGGTTGGATGAATGTAGTGCTTCACGTCTCCCCTCTTACGTGGAATCTGGAGCAGCACTATACCAGTGCCTTCATTGTACATGCCCTAACGCCTTAACTCACGTTGGATGGGTAAAGTGAAAAATTGTGCAGTATCGCTAGGTACTGACACATCCTCAACCGTTCCTCTTTGCATCCAGATTAGTGCTACTTTTTTCTGTATAAGATGTCAATTTTTTTTCTCAGATGAATATACATCAATATAAATATAGAGGGGTCCACATAAGATAGTGAGAAGGAGAAAAAAAAACCTGCATGCACAAAGATCCCCTCTCCAGCTAAAGACTTGCATTTATTTTTCTAATATCATTTTGAATGGCTTACAACTTTTTTTACCAAAAATTTGTTTTTGAATTTTTTTTTACATATTTAAATTCATGGCGAACAGACCTTTAAAACAAGACTGACCTTGAATATGTTTTGAACGGGTTTAAAAATACCAATTTCACATATTTCACATTCTTTATGATAACATATTCCACTCATTTTAGAAAAGATTTTCTAATAACATATTTCACTCATTCTAAATCAGATTTAATAAATTTAAAAACATATTTCACTCATTTCATTTAACATACTTCACTCATTTGAAAAATATTTTATAACATATTCCACTCATTTTGAAAAGGATTTCATAAATAACATATTTCACACACTTTCAAACATATTTGAGTCATTTCAATAAAGATTTCCTAATAACATAGTCCACCCATTCAAAAAAAGTTCATAAATAACATATTTCAGAACCCACATTTCACATTTCACAAGTGTTTTTTTTTTCAAAAAAATGACATCTATATCAACTGCATATTAAAAAAACATATTTCACTCTTTCGAAATCAAACTGTTACACATTTAGAAGTAATAAGCTTCACATGTTCATATTTTTCTAGTGAAATAGGTTTATTTCACATATGAAATGTGAAACGTCAAATTTTAAACATGCTTGAAATGTATCCAAGATTTGTCTACTTCTAAAGGCCTTCGCGCCTGGAGTTCAAATATATAAATTATTTCATAAATGAACTTATATTTTAAAGATATGATTGATTTAAATTGTCTAAGATAAAATAAAGTCTTTGGATTTATCTGGGAGGGAGAGAGAGGAGAAATGTATGAGTAGTTTCTGTCATTGACAAAAGTAGTATTGCGGGGCCCATCTGACTGATAGTTGATTTTATTAAATAGGAATACCAGAAACTGAAAGACCAAAACAAAAAATATACTCCCTTCGTCCCATAATGTAGGATGTATTTTGACACTACACTAATATCAAAAAACGTCCTACATTATGGGACGGAGGGAGTACATATGCATGGGCTAGCGCGAATCACAAAAACAAAATGTGTGGTAACAGATGTGATGCTACATTAACGTGCAAAATGGCTTTTTGGTTGGATGGGCCGCACGAATCTGGGTGCAGCTCCATCTGCCACATCGGCAACACGATCTCGTTCGCTGGGGTGAGGAACCCAGCGAATGTACCCACTCACGCACTTCCTTAACCACTCGAAGCTCACTCTGTGCATTTAAAAACAGAACCGAAAAACCATATCAAAAATAAATCGAACCGATCCAATTTTATGGTTTTTATGGTTTCTGCTTTCGGTATGGTATGAACTTTTCATACCGATTTGAACTTTGGTTTTTATGGTATATACCGAAAAACCAAACACTTAACCGAATAAACCGAAGTAAACAATAAATTTATATTTCTTGAGATGAAAAACCATAAAAGTTGTCATTTTTCTTGTACATGAGTTAAATTCACTACTAAGCACGTAAATTTTCTTGTAACATAATCATTTTTCTCGTTTAAAAATACGAGCACGTCCATAACCATCAACAGATGATTCAAAGCATTCATATATACTTATATGTAGTCATATACTATTTGTGTAAAATAGTATGTGTTTTGAGTCATAAATTTGCAAATTATTATACATCATTTTCAAATTCGCTTCAACTTTGGTTTTTATGGTATATACCGAAATCATACCAAAATAATTTGGTATATACCAAAACCGAACCGTATTTTATTTTCATACCGTATTTACCGAGGTATTAATACCATACAAACCGAAAAAACGTATAAACCGAACCATGTAAACCGAATAAACCGAACGCACAGGGTGACTCGTAGCGCTCGCATGCCCCCCTCCCCCCTTTCACTGTGTCCTCCATCTCTGAGGGCCGAGGTACCGCTGGAGCTCTGCACGCTCGGCTCTGACACCGCTCTAGTAGGCACGACACCTGATTCCACCCTAATGCACTCATACCCTACGCATGTCGTCGTCAATCTATGAGGAGGACACCTGGGGAGAGCCGCTGCTTGATGGGGATCTCTGCGGAGCAGCGCTCCTGCGCACGGCGCATGGAGGAAGGGACCAACGCGGGGCTGGCACAAGGCGGTGGGGTCTTAGGCGGTGGTGGGGCGAGGGCACCGGAGGAAGCTATTCTCGGGATGGATTTGAGGCGAGTGAGAGGCCGAGGGTATGGAGGATGACAGCGTGTCAAACATGAAACATGTGCCCCATCATGACATTTTTGTTATTAAGAGCATAGCACATTTATTTCAAAGAGCACAACATTTTTATTTAAAGAACATGGCATTTGTATATACCATGAGATATATATATTTTAGGCCATGGCATTTTTTTGTTAAGAGCATGTCATTTTTTTAAATAACATGGTTATTTTTGTAGAGCATGGCATTTTTATTTTTATTTTTGTAGAGCATTGCGATTTTGTTAGTAATAACATGTCATTTTTTATCATTAAGAGCATGGCTTATTTTTATTTTTCCATTTTATACATTTTTTCAAATTTACCATGTATGATTTCATATGATGGTTTTTAAAATAAAAATATTGTTCTTTTCACATTTGCAACTAGCATTTTGTTATATACATTGGTTTGTGTGTGTTTTAGCTGTGTGTGATAACCCACAAGTGTAGGGGATCAATTGTAGCCTCTTTCGATAAGTAAGAGTGTCGAACCCAACGAGGAGCTAAAGGTAGAACAAATATTCCCTCAAGTTCTATCGACCACCGATACAACTCTACGCACGCTTGACGTTCGCTTTACCTAGAACAAGTATGAAACTAGAAGGACTTTGCAGGTACGATATGATAGATTTGCAAGATAATAAAGAGCACGTAAATAAAAGCTAGGGGCTGTGAAGATAAAGAAGCAATAAAGTTAGTTTTAGTAGAGAGCTTTTTGTCACAAGAAAGTTATTTGTCCCTAGGCAATCGATAACTAGACCGGTAATCACTATTGCAATTTTATTTGAGGGAGAGGCATAAGCTAACATACTTTCTCTTCTTGGATCATATGCACTTATGATTGGAACTCTACCAAGCATCCGCAACTACTAAAGATCATTAAGGTAAAACCCAACCATAGCATTAAATCATCAAGTCCCCTTTATCCCATACGCAACAACCCCCTTACTCGGGTTTATGCTTCTGTCACTCAAGCAACCCACTATAACCGAACAATGAACGTATTGCAACACCCCACAACGGGAATCCCTCACGCTTGCGCGACACGGAGAGCACAATAAGAAAGCACCAATAATAAAACATGCAACTCAAACCAATCACGATCATCAATTAACCCATAGGACAAAACGGATATACTCAAACATCATAAGATAGCCATACATCATTGGGAAATAATATATAGCGTTGAACACCATGTTTAAGTAGAGATTACAGCGGGTAAAAGAGAGGTTACACCGCTGCATAGAGGGGGGAAGAGTTGGTGATGAGGGCGGTGAAGTTGTTGGTGTAGATCGCGGTGATGATGATGTTGGGGAACGTAGTAATTTCAAAAAAAATCCTACGCACACGCAAGATCATGGTGATGATATAGCAACGAGAGGAGAGAGTGTTGTCCACGTACCCTCGTAGACCGTAAGCGGAAGCGTTAGCACAACGCGGTTGATGTAGTCGTACGTCTTCACGATCCGACCGATCCAAGCACCGAACGTACGGCACCTCCGAGTTCAGCACACGTTCAGCTCGATGACGATCCTCGGGCTCCGATCCAACAAAGCTTCGGGGATGAGTTCCGTCAGCACGACGGCGTGGTGACGATGATGATGTTCTACCGGCGCAGGGCTTCGCCTAAACTCCACGACGATATGACCGAGGTGGAATATGGTGGAGGGGGGCACCGCACATGGCTAAGGAGCGATTCGTAGATCAACTTGTGTGTCTATGGGGTGCCCCCCTGCCCCCGTATATAAAGGAGCAAGGGGGGAGGCCGGCCGGCCCTTGTGGGCGCGCCAAGGAGGAGGAGTCCTCCTCCTAGTAGGAGTAGGACTCCTCCTTTCCTACTCCTACTAGGAGGGGGAAGGAGGGGGGAGAGGGGGAAGGAAAGAGGGGGGCGCCGCCCCCCCTCCTAGTCCAATTCGGACCAGAGGGAGAGGGGGCGCGCAGCCCACCCTGGCCGCCCCTCTCTCTTCCCACTAAGG